ATACATCTAAATGCATTCAAACAAGAAGTTTTATAGATCTTCATATGAACAAGAAGATTCTTGATGAAAAATACCTTACAATAAGAAGGTAGAATTCAAAACCTCAAATACAGGAATCACGCAAACATCTGAAGAATAGATGACGCAATCCATAGAAGAAGCATTATTTTAAAATGGGGCATGTTACCCAATCAACAAGTTATTTCAATGAGAAAACAATTTCCAAAGTTTCCCATTTAATTTTTTCTAAAAATGAAATTCTTGAATAGTAAGAAAACGATTTCCATAGTTTCTTACTTAGTAAACTATTTCCCTCATCTGTAAGTCCTTCAGTGCATGATGTTTTCAAAAACCTTCGGGTCATCTGTAAGTCCTTCAGTGCATGGTGTTTTCAAAAACCTTCGGGTCATCTATAAGTCCTTCAGTGCATGATGTTTTCAAAAACCTTCGGGTCATCTGTAAGTCCTTCAGTGCATGATGTTTTCAAAAACCTTCGGGTCATCTGTAAGCCCTTCAGTGCATGATGTTTTCAAAAAAACCTTTGGGTCATCTGTAAGTCCTTCAATTCATGATGTTTTCAAAAAATTTTAGGTCATCTGTAAGTCCTTCAGTGCATGATGTTTTCAAAAACCTTCGGTCATCTGTAAGTCCTTCAGTGCATGATGTTTTCAAAAACCTTTGGGTCATCTGTAAGTCCTTCAGTGCATGATGTTTTCAAAAACCTTCGGGTCATCTGTAAGTCCTTCAGTGCATGATGTTTTCAAAAAACCTTCGGGTCATCTATAAGCCCTTCAGTGCATGATGTTTTCAAAAACCTTCAAGTCATCTGTAAGTCCTTCAGTGCATGATGTTTTCAAAAACCTTCGGGTCATCTGTAAGTCCTTCAGTGCATGATGTTTTCAAAAACCTTCGGGTCATCTGTAAGTCCTTCAGTGCATGATGTTTTCAAAAACATTTGGGTCATCTGTAAGTCTTTCAGTGCATGATGTTTTCAAAAACCTTCGGGTCATCTGTAAGTCCTTCAGTGCATGATGTTTTTAAAAACCTTCGGGTCATCTGTAAGTCCTTTAGTGCATGATGTTTTAAAAACCTTCGGTCATCTGTAAGTCCTTCAGTGCATGATGTTTTCAAAAACCTTCGGGTCATCTATAAGTCCTTTAGTGCATGATGTTTTCAAAAACCTTCGGGTCATCTGTAAGTCCTTCAGTGCATGATGTTTTCAAAAAAAACCTTCGGGTCATTTGTAAGTCCTTCAGTGCATGATGTTTTCAAAAACTTTTGGGTCATCTGTAAGTCCTTCAGTGCATGATGTTTTCAAAAACCTTCGGGTCATCTGTAAGTCCTTCAGTGCATGATGTTTTCAAAAACCTTCGGGTCATCTGTAAGTCCTTCAGTGCATGATGTTTTCAAAAACCTTCGGGTCATCTGTAAGTCCTTCAGTGCATGATGTTTTTAAAAAACCTTCGGGTCATCTGTAAGCCCTTCAGTGTATGATGTTTTCAAAAAACCTTTAGGTTATCTGTAAGCGTTTCAGTGCATGATGTTTTCCAAAACCTTCAGGTCATCTATAAGCCCTTCAGTGCATGATGTTTTCAAAACCTTTGGGTCATCTGTAAGTCCTTCAGTGGATGATGTTTTCAACATTTCCATCATACTCAAAAGAAACCAAATGAAAAAATTATTGTTTTTTCGTCTTTGCTTTATTCTTGTTAACATAAAAATGAGCAAAGAGGGGCAGTTGTAAATACTAATTTTTTCATTTCATTTTATTATTATTATTATTATATTATTATTATTATTATTAATATATATATTACAAAATACATCAGAGGCCCACGACCCTAAGTCCATTTACAAGGCACGTTTACAATTGGCCTAATAGAAACCCTAAACCCATTTAGATTTCTACTAGGGTCTCATCACCCAGCCGCCTCTGATGCTTCCAGAAGTCCAGCCGCCGCCTCTGCCGATGACTCCCAAGCCATATGGTCCAACCAGCTACTGCTGACGGTCAGCCACCCCACGTTGACGCCGCTGCTACTGCCACGCCTAGTTGAAGCCTCCAGAAGACTCAAAAATGCCATCCACGTTATTACCCTATGGTGAGTCACCACCATAGTTCGGTGACTCACCGAGGGTCATCCCTTGTGACCGGTTCAAGGCAAGACTCGGTGGTGGCTATAAAGCCACTGAACCTGCAAAATGAAAGGGAGGAGAACACAGCGAGCAAAAGAGACAGAGGGTAAGAACAGAGGAAGAGACGACAACAACAAACAAACAACAACAATAGCAACCAATAACCAACCAATAGAAGAGAGAGGAATTTACCAAACGTCGTCGGAGCCCAAACGTTACCAAAAATCTCTGTTTAAGTCGAAGGTAAAATCTTCGGTTATTTTTTTAGATTTAAGCCGGTTTAGTGGTTTTTAGGGAGAAATAAGGTAGGATTCGGTTTTAGGGAAAAGGATATTCGATTTGGGTTAATTTTCTAAATTCCAGCCACCGTTTACGGTGGCCGGTGACGGTGATCAGAGCCGGCGTACGGTGGCCGTTGGCTGCCAGAATTCCCTCTGACGAGGGAATCTAGAGAGAGGGCAGAGAACTTTGGTTCTCTCGTTTAGTGAGAGAGAAAAAAATGAGGAAATGAGATAGATGAAGGGATTTTGGGTCGGTTAAAGGGATTAAATACCCTCCCCCAAACAACGTTGTTTTGGGGGAGGGGAGTATGTGTAATTTCCAACATTGAGAAATCCTTCCCGCAATCCTTTATGTTTTGCAAAATTTCACTTTAGTCACTACAGTATGTGTTCATGCATTTTAATTTTGTTTCATTTATATTTTAGTCACTATTTAGTATTAATAAATGTTTAGGGTAAAATAATTTATTCAATCCCTTATAGTTTTAGTAATTTTATTTTAATCCTGTATTAAGTTTTCATGGCTAAATTACAGTATTAATATTTATATTTTATGATATTAATAATTATGTTCATTAATTTTGATCTTTTATAAATTAATCACTAATTTTTATAATTCTTATCATTGACTATGAATTTTATGTATTTATGAATATGATTTAATTGTTTTAATTATTTTTAATACTTTCCCAAATTTGTTGTCAATTAACTATTCATAAAGGATTAATTCACCTTTAATGTTTCATTTTCCTTAATTACTTATAACCTTGATGTTTGTATCTTTGACTTTATTTTTTCCTTACTTTAATTTTCTTTGCATCTATTTATAATTGGTATCTTAAATTTACTTTTTATTTCATCCATTTTAATTATAATAGACATTAATACTATTTGATTTTATTATATTACTATTTATTAAAATATAAATTTCTTTTAGTATTTATTCTATACATTTACAAAGATGATATATGGTATTTTATTAACGTTAAAGTGTGTTTATATTATAATTTTAATTTTATTCATTATTTATTTGTAATATTATTTTATTATTACTTTTAATATATTTTAATTATTACTTTAATTATTATTATTTTTATCTTAGTCTTATATATATATATATATATATATATATATATTTTTTTTTAAATAATGATATTTATTTATTTTTAATATCAAAGAAAAGGCAGTCTTAAAGCAACTATATGTCATGTTTTGGTATTTTAAATAAATAAATATCTTACTTATAAAAATAAAAAAAATAGATATTGTTTATTTAAATTATTTTCTTAGAAAAATAATCATATTTTAATATTTTTTTAATATTAAGAAATGGGATGTCTTAAAGAACCTAGAAGTCATTTTCTATATTCTTAAATAAATAAATATCTTACTTTTATAAATTATATCTATTTTTTAAATAAATGTTTTAATATATTTTTTATATTAAAAAAGAGTTGTCTTAAAGCACCTAGAAGTTCTTTTATGATATTTCTAAATAAATAAATATCTTATTTATATATATAACAGGATTATATTAAAACACCTAGATTTTCTTATATTAATAAATTTGAAATAACATGATTATAAATTAAATATATTTTTGAATTTTTAAATTTTCAATAATAGAGACAATTTATAATTAATAAGTACCAATTTTGGGCGTTGTGGGAGTGCTAATCCTTCCCCAAACGTAATCGACCACAAATCCCTTTTTATTATTAAAAATAACGAATCTTTGGTTAAAAAGCAGATCAGTTTATCTTTTAACTGATGTTTTCTTAAAAATCTTTTAAAAGATAATTTTTAGGTATTCGACCTTTCTGACCCAAAAGGCCGATGGCGACTCCCAAAACATCTTAAAAAACCATTTATTCACATCACTTTTCTCACTGAGTAAAAATTTCGTGCCCGAACGAAAACCGATTACGACACTTATCATTTCTGATTTTATGATTTGAACACTTATTTTGAATGCAGTGTTAGAATCATAAATGTTTTGTCATTTAGTCTTCAATATTAATGGTTCTTTTTTTTTTCCTATGAGCCCTTTTGTGGCGTTTATATCAAAAAATGCCGCTATAGATTGATATTTTGCGACGTTTCTTCTAAAAACACCGTGATAGATCTTGAGGCACTGGTATGGTCGGCGTTTCTTGCGGTGTTTTCTTATCGAAATAAGTGTTCTTAACGGCGCTTAAAAATATGCTATATAACTAAAAAAAACACTACTAAAACTATGTTTTTATTATAGTGCTAATTTTAGCGATTTTTAAAAAAAATAAAAAATCAGTAAACATTTATTTTTGTATTAAGGGGTAAAAGAACGGTATATTTGAATAAAAATGGCGAATGCACATCTTTCCCGGAACGCTGGCGTTTAAAGAAGCCCAACCGCCGACCAAAACAACTCACCTGAAATACCAGTGTTTTTCACTGCGGTGACGGAAAACGGAGAGATTCAAACTGAGACCGATCAGAGCGTCAGATTCCGGTACGTACTGTGAAAGTTATAGATTTATTGTTGAAAATTGCACGTAAAATAGTGTGCTTTAGGAGTTCTTTCAATTTGGTTGGAATGGTAAATCAAAGTATGCTTTTTTAATTAAAGCATTTTGACGAATACTTGGTGGGCATGAATGAAAGTTCAAAGCTTTTGCTTCATCGCGTAAATTCAATTATAGTTTTTCAATTGTAGTGAGTCAGATTCAAGAGCTTGGGGAAGCGAACTGTCATCTTATGTAAAATGCGTCATTCAAATGAATTCAATTTGTTCATCCCAATCTATATTTTGTTCTTCATTGTTAGCAGCTCAATCTTCAGCCATGGAAAGATGCAAGTAACCTCAAAGAAAACGATGTTTTTTTTTCATTTTCTTCTTGATTTTCCCCCTTAGTAAGAATGTCGTCATTGCCAATTTTTCGCAGGCTAGACGGCGGCGTTTTGAACGTCGGGGAGGAGCTAAAGGCGGAAACTTTACCTCTTAAAATGGGTTCTCGAGCCTATAAACTGCAAGGGCTAAAATCATTAACTTGGTACGAAGTGAAGATCTCGTATCCAGCTTCTGTATGTAATTTTCTTTACAGTGATTTTGCCTTCTTGTGGCATTTCATTTCAAAAGAAACTGATCTTTGCTTTGGTTATTGAAAGATTCCAGCTAGTTTTTCTTTGCAATTGAAGAAAGGCGAAACGGATTCTGGGTTAAGCAGGAAAAGAAGATTGTTGAATACAGAGAAGTTGATATTCAAGACTGATGATCTGGACGCCATTAATTACCAGGTTTTGGTTTCTGCTGATGAATTTTTTTGATGCATTTTTATCCTACCATGTTTGAAAATTTTGATTTGAGATGGATTAAATTTTCAAATTAAATAATTCAGAGTTATTTAGATTTTACTTTAATTTGAAGATATAGTTAGAGTTAGATAGTTTAGCTCAGATTTTAAATTGTGCACCTCAGTTATTCGAATAACTCAAATATTCAAGTCCATGATCAGAAGGTCGTCCATGGTCTGAGTGGACTGGTCGGATGACTCATAGATGCAGATTTTGAGTGATTGCACTTGGCTAGAGTGAAACTTATGTTTCAAGTTATGAAATATTATGATGCTGTAAATTAATCACACTTGACTAGAGTGAAATTTATGTTTCAAGTTACGAAAAATTTATGTTAATTAGATTTATTCGACTTGATTTCATGAAATCTTAAATCACTTGATTTGTCAACTCAACTAATTCAATTTTTTTCATTCGACTTGATTCAATTGAATACTCACCCCTCTCTCTATGTATAAAATATTTTCACGCGCACTCATATAGTATTGCTAAAGAAGCTCGGTTTTGCTCAGGATGGACTGTACGTTTTGGTGACTGTGGAGCCTGAAGGGTTTGTTGTGATACCCAACACAAAGGAAAGAGAGTTCGTCATCTACAATATAGGTAAACCAACTTTTTCCTTGCACCTCCTTTCATGTAATGGCATACCTTGCTAGTTACGTTGCTACATATGTCGATATCATACGCTGCTTCAGTTGTACACTTAGTGTATAAAAGGGTTGCTTGCCGCTGGAAAATACCATGCGGTGAAATATCACACACCTAGAGGCTAGATTCACTAGAACACATTGCAGTTTATTCAGATACTGATGTGCATGGCAACTTTTTCATGCCGGGGGCGGGGGGGGGGTGTATAACTATGTATATATATATATATTCAGCCATTCTTGTGATCTGCTGCGATGTAATTCTTCGACACTGTCCAATTGTTTTGATTTACTGATTTGCAATGTCTCCACACGTTATTAAAAAAGTCATCTGCGTCATCAAATGAAATCTATTCCGATCTTTTTCGACTATCCCGTTTGTTTTCCATCACTTCTGATGCTCATTTATATACCCCTATGATCCATCATGCTCATGTGAAAACGAGCTTCTTATTCAGAAGCACCGGCTTTATTGTTCAGTATGCTAATAGACTTTCTTTTCTTTTACTTTTCAGTTTGTTTTCGACTATCCCGTTTGTTTTCCATCACTTCTGATGCTCATTTATATACCCCTATGATCCATCATGCTCATGTGAAAACGAGCTTCATATTCAGAAGCACCGGCTTTATTGTTCAGTATGCTAATAGACTTTCTTTTCTTTTACTTTTCAGTTTGTGATGAACTGTTGTTGGGCATCCCTTACCAAGCTTGGTGGGTCGTAGTCTTTGTCGTCCTGTGTTTGGTGTCGGCATTGATTATTCCAAGATATCTTCCACCATACCTGCTTCTTGACCGGAATGTTGCCAAGCAATCTTGAGACATTGTCGTTCAAGATAATGATTTGTATCATCGCCACTATTTACTAACAGTGGAGCATTTGTTAATTGCCATGTAAGGAGAGGCGTTTCTGTTACCAAAGTTTTCAGAAATGTAGCTGAACCAAATTGTGAAAATGTTAAACATTTGCTTTAGTGATTGTTTATGCCTCACTATGAACAATGGGTTAATAAATTTTCTATAAAATAACATCTTGAAATTCCAGTTCTATCAACTCAATATACACATACACAAAAGTTTCTAAACCATAAATGATTCATGCAACAACAGACTAACCAGCATTACTGCTAACCAGCAACTTTCATGGCGTGCTCGGATTGTCTTCGGTCATTGACTTCCCGTCTTTACAGTTTTCCCCATTCAACAAGTCATTGGCTGCAGGATGCTTCGTTTTATTGGCTTCAGCAGTATCTATGGGGTTCAAGAAGCTTGGCTGGTTAGTTAAAGAGAACAGCCTTGCCCACATCCTGTCTGTAATGACAACCTTGTTCTGTTTCTCGATGATTCGCTATTGGCGGAAAAAATGGTAATGAAAACAATGGGAGGCACATCGTCCCGACAAACAAATTTGGTAAGGGAAAGTAATCCAATTTCAAGTAAATCCGAGCAAAAACTTGATGAACGCGGATTGAGGTTAATGGTTTCTAGCGGACACTTGGACTATAAGTTATAACATCGACACATGTTCGCAAACAGAGAAGTTATTAAAGGTGCAATGGAACATAAACTAAGTGGAATGTAAGCATGTATTCCATTGGCAGGACAGACGGTGAAGCCTGTATACCCCGCCATTGCTCCATGAACTGCGGCGTGAGCAAGTAGGGTGCAGTAGACATTATCCGAAGCGATGCTAGAAATAGCCTGGATCATGTATGTAGGATCTGCAAACAAAATTTCTCAAGTCAAATACTTTTGCACATTATCTAAAAGGTCTAATTTAACAGAAAGAAACTAGAATATTAACCTATATATTTCAGATTAATGGGCATCTTCTTCATTGCTAAATGCTCCTATACGAAGTGAAAAAACAGTCTAATGTTTCATAGGTATCAAATCAGTATCCGTATATCTTATGAAACTAGAGGTTAGTCGATTGAAGGTAGAACCTTTATCTCGTGAGATATCCACAGCCCAACATCTTGAAGAAGCCTGTTACCCGAAGCGTCTTGCCGGTCCTCCGACTGCATGCTCTTGGAAAGAAGTTCCTGTCCAGCTCCTTCAGCGATTACAATGATCATATGTTCATTTTCTGAGTCGTTTTTCTATATATTCATTAAGTCGACCTCTTCCTTTCAGATAGAATGGTGACTCCGGAATCAAGCAACAATTGACGTCACGACTAGCAAGAGTAGCATGTATCGCGATGAAACCTGCAGCAGAAGCTCAACATGGTAAATACAAATGATCGGAAACAAAAATTATAGACAACAATTTGTCAGGGTTCCATACCACTGTATTTTCTTATTAGCTTTACAAGTCCAAAGCCGTTCTTGATACTTTTGGATTCAACACGTGCTGCATTAATGGCACGTTGAGCCTCCTAGACCGCAGAATCGAAAGCAAATGATTTGTAAATAACCTAAAACAAAATGAGAAACCCAGCACAATGCCACTCACAGGTTAACTAACTTTCCTTTCAAGTAACAAGGACAGTTCACAGAGATGAGAAGTACCGGAATGTCACTGTCAATGGTTTTGGGAATTCCAGCAACAGCGACTTTGAGGCCACATCGCTTAATTTCCTGCCACAGCAGAACCAGTTAAGCTAAAACATAATGACAATGATTAGAGACGATACATTCTAGATCCATCATCAACTACAACCTTGGTTAAAATTCAGCTACATCTATGCCCCTTTTTTCATATTTGACATTTATAGAAAACACGTAATGCAAATACCTCAAAAATATCTGCTGCTTCTTTTTGTGCCCCATCACCTCCGATTATATAGACCTGAACCAATAAAGGATATAATTAGAACAAAAAAAGTGTAGGTATAAATTCAAATAACAGAGAGGAAGCTTTGACAAAAACCCTCTAATCTCGTGCCTTAATGCACCTGATTGATTCCACGATCCTGAACGTGATCAACAATCTTTGAGGAATCGTGAGCTCCTATCGACGTCCCAAGAATCGTACCACCACGTTTATGAATATCATCGAAAGCCATAGGTGTTAAGGTAACAGTGTTCTTGGCATAAAAACCCCTATATCCTCCCTAAGCATGGATCATGTATCTGTGCTGGTGAGATTACAAGATTATGGATTTGAATATGCCTAAATATTGAAATTGCTTACATCGATTCCGAGAACGTTTCGGACACTGTACATGTGATATAGACCGCACACGATTTCCCTGATCACCATGTTGATCCCGGGGCATAGACCACCACATGTGACAATGCATGCATTCACATCTTCTGATTTAAAATGCACCTGAGAAGCATAACAGATGCCAGTCAGTGAACTAATATCCATAGCTTATCAGTTCATAAGTTCAACCGAAAACCATCGAGATAAGATGAAAAGTATACCTTTTGGTGAGGTCCGGCACGCCGAAAATGCACCTCTCTCGGTCTTTCCTTGTGAACAACAACCAACGATAAAATTACATCAGTTAAACCAGAGCATCTTATAAATGCAATTCCATCACATGAGAACATTCAAATTCAGTGGATTCCTTAGAAAACAAGAGTATATAATGGAAACCTAGGATTATGTTTATATATATATATGTACCATACGAACTACAAATGAATTTCCCATAAAACAATAAACCCCTGTGTATAAACCCGTGTACTAAATTGTGTCCGTCTATCGTTTTTCAAGGTCACGGACACCACAGCAACCGTATCCACAAATTTAAAAAACCAGTTATTTTTAGGAAACAAATCACTCCAGCGTCACACCGCAACCACAATTGAGTACTATAATAAACCCCACCGGCCATCACTAAGGCAAGGATTCACCTTCTGAAGAGAGTATTCTCCTCCTCAACAAAGTATTGCCTGTGAAACAAAAACCCAAATCACCATCTTCAAACAAGACAAAGCAAACTATAATTATGCAAGACTATTGATTAGCTGATGGAAACTTTGGTTTAGTTTACTCACTTGACAACTGAATAAGCCGGGTTATCTTGTACGGGTTGGGATAGCTCTGTCACAAAAATAAACTGGGTTCATCAGGACTCAACAAAACACTGAAACCAAAGCTGATCAAGCTACTATCATAAAGCAAGAGAGAGTACATGGAGATCATGAAGGTAATCAGTAAAGTGAGGAATATCTTCGAGCACGAAACCGGCAGCACCGGGAACTAATTTGAAATGGGTATCAGTGGGATTTTCCATGGATAAAGTAAAACGGAAAGTGTTGGATTTTGGGTATCGGTGATATATAGTGTTGGATTCATGTGAGCTGAGCTGAGAAAGCCACTGAAAACCAGGTGGGATCGTTATCCGAGTTGGATCGCCCACGTCAAGCATTCACTCAATGTTGCTTTTACGAGGTTCCGTTCTGTTCTGCTGCTCCAAAAACTGGTGGCGCCCGCATATTGATATTTCGATTGCTTGGTCTTTTTATTATCCAACCAGGATTTGGAAATATTTATATATCTATGAGAAATATCGGAAGTGTTTGAATATTATAATCTTCAATAAAACGCTATTGTTTTATGATTTCAATGGCGTAATTGGTTCTTTGAAGCAATCAGTTAAGGTGGGAAGTGGCTGAATGCATCGTCAGTATCTCACATTGAGATACAAAGCGACGAGAGGAGAATCTGGGGGCTCGTATTTCATTAGTTTACCCTTTCTCGGCCTTTTGGCTAAAGATCAAGTGTAATATCTTGGTCCACACGATATTAAATTTATATTTTGAGGGGGAGTGTCCACAAAAGTAGCTTGCTAGTGGGACTTTCGATGTTGTCCAAGCGTTGCACAGTAGCTCGAGCCTGGCGCACCCCACCTAATTCAATTTCAAAATTTGCCATCAAGCCTAGATAAATTGTAACGTTGGCGTCTTAAGATGGTGGCAATTTTTTTTAGATTTAACTTATTTTGTGTTTACTTTTTAGATTTATTTTTTATAGTAGTAATAAATTTAGAATATATAACGGCAAAATAAATTTATTTATTTTTTTAATTGAGAGAAACTAGGGCTGAAAGGTAGAAGGCTACTGCAAAGAGGCAACATCCGAAACAAGAGCAAGAAGTGTTGATCTGAAGAGAGCTTTGCAAATCTATTTGCGATTTTGTTTGCAGATCTTGATATCGAAAATATATCTCCCTGCTATTTTGACTTCTTTGTGACTTTGTTTCCAGATCTTGATATCTACTGAAAGTCTATCTCCTAACTATTCTGACACAAGCCTGCAATTGCTCAAACAAGCGAGACTTGACTTCGAGCAGGGTCTTCATCAACCAACATCTCGATTGCTTGGGAGCTATCCGATTAGGGTCTTCATCAACCAACATCTTGATTGCTTGGGAGCTATCCTATTGTACAAGGAACTTTAAAAGACCGCGACTCCATGCAACGAGGAGGCCTTCATATATTTATGAAATTGAAGTCAATGATAGAGCACACACCGATATTCTTGTAGAAACTAGTAATCAAAACGTCCTTCCGAATCACGAATAACGTCTCCAATTGAGCCTCGGCCTATTGCAGTGGAAATCCTGCCATCTGTGTTTAGACATGACCAGGGGCGTTTTGACCTAACTGACCCTTTTTTAATTCTCCCATTATAACATTCGTTGACCAATATTTCCCGAAGTAGCACTCTTTCGGCTGAGGTGGCACAAAGACGCATCTCCGGGGACGCGCTTTACATGGGTTTTTACTGAGTCGGATGCCACATGTGAAAGGCGCATCCCCGGTGATGCGCTTTCACGGGATTTTGATGGATCAGCTGCCACGTGTGGAAGGCGCATCCTCGGGGATGCACCTTCCATTAAATACCATTAATGCCCCCATCCGTTTTCCCCAACTATCCCTCCTCATCCCCAATATAAATACCCCAACCCCCCTCATTCTTCACACCAAAACATCTCTTCCTCTCTTATATAACTCAAAT